AAGGAAGGAAAGGAAGGAAGGAAGGAAGGAAGGAAGGAAGGAAGGAAGGAAGGAAGGAAGGAAGGAAGGAAGAAAAAAGAACGTAAGAGGCTTGATTTGGTGGCCAGTCACACATTTAACAGACGGGTAACATGCCTTGCCTTTTCTGGTGTGGTGCATGGTAAGAAAAAACCAAACATATTCAATCCAGTTCATCCAAATTTTACAGGATGGGGCGCTAACAGATTAGGGCTTAAATAATTTTTAACACTTTTTGAGTCATTTTCTAAAGCACATTTTTTTAAACAAAGAAAAGAAATGAGCTCAGCCTCTATGAAATGAATGTTTTCACATCCCCAGTGAGTGACATCATGTGGCAGTAGCTCATTTCTCGTAACCTAACAGTCCCATCTGCATTCTCAAAATAATGGAACTTCATTTTTAAATGTGTGTGTCTGTGTGTGTGTGTCTCTGTGTGTGCATAAGTGTGCATCTGTGTGTGTGCAGTATGTGTGCACATGTATGTATGTACGTGTTTATGTGTGTCTCTGTGTGTGTATATCTGTGTGTGTGATATGTGTGTATGTGTATGTATGTATATGTATAAACATATGTATATGTTTATATGTGTATCTGTGTGTATATATGTGTGTGTCTCTCTGTGTGTGTATGTGTATAGTGTATATGTGTGTATGTGTATGAATGTATGTGTGTACATGTGTGTGTCTCTGTGTGTGAATGCATGTCTCTGTGTGTGTGTGTGTGTGATGTGTGTATCATGTCAAATGTGTGTAGGTTCCTGCAGGTCCAGAACAGGATGTTGGAATCCCTGGGGCTGGAGTTACAGGGGATTGTGAGCCTCTTGACCCAGATTCTGGGAACTGAATTCATGTCCCCTGGAGAGTAGCCTGTGCCCTTAACCACTAAACCACTTTACAGCTCCTGATGACACTATTCCACTTTTCTTTTTTTTTTTTTTTTTTTTTTTTGGCTGAAAATGATCTATAATGTGTATTGCCACACGTAACTTCTCAGGTGACAGACACTTAGGTTGTTTCCATTTGTTGGTATTGTGAATAGTACTACAATAAATACGGGAGGGAAGACATTACTTCAAAATACTGGTTCTTTGTTCTTTTGGAGTAGTGAGATTGCTAGGTCACATGAGGTTCTATTTTTTGACTTTTGGTTTTCTGTAAAATCTGTACTAATTGACATGCCTTATACTTCAATAATGCTCAAGGGTTCCCTTTTCTCTGCGTGCTCGCCAACGTGAACTTCCTTATTTTTAACATCTGGGAGGGGGAACTGGACAAGAAAGGACCAGAGTGCAGTCTGTTTTCTCTCCTCTGCCCCAACCGCTCTTTTTATTTCCTGCCCCAAATTTCTCAGAATTATGGGTATCTCAGTCATTAAACCAAAAGGCTGATATATATTCTTACCTCAGACCACTTTTTCTAACACCCAAAATGAAAGAGAATGGTTTTGTACTGCACCCATTGGGAACATGTTCCCTCTCATAAAACCATCCCTCACTGTGGCCATGCCAAAGCAGACCTGAATGGATGAAGCTGGAGCCTCCCCGACCCCTTCACTTGGGAACCAGGGAGAGGGAACTGGCTAAGATGTGAAGGATGGTACGGAAGCTTGCTTGTGAATTTCCGTCTGTCCCTGCTTGGGGACAATTCCATCTCCACCTGACAATCGTTATCTCCTTCCAGTGAGTTTCTTCTCCGCAGGATATGTGCTGGCTAGAGTGAAACACTGACGAAGAGCACACGTGACCTAACAGAGACAGATGGTCCTTTGACAGGGTTCCATCATTCCCTGGGTCCAAAATGTTGGATAGCAAGGACCAAAATATTGGCTATCCTTTTTGTCTGTCTGTCTGTCTGTCTGTTTCCCCTCACTGGTTTTGGACTCTCAGCTTTGATTGCTAAACACTTTGAAGAAGTTTTATTGGTCTTGAAGAGGAAGTCACGGATTTACGTTTCAACTTTTGTGTAACATTTAGACAAAAACAAACTTTAAAATAAATCCTGATGTTGTTAAGACTCAGTTTTCTAAGCAGTTAAAAGCCTGGCCAACTTAGCAGAAAACTTGATGAAACAGCATTATGTTCTTTAAGACGGTTTTTTCAAATGTTGCTAGGAGCAGATTAGTGTTATTCTACATGAAACACAATATAATCCATCCCAGCAACTTAGTGTGCTGTTCAGAGGAGAACCCCATGAACGAGAAGAACACAGGTTCTGAAACAGGCTCGAAGCTGTGTAGAGTAGATGATCTGGGCTGCCAGGTACCCACAGATTGCTCTAGAAGAATGGAGTGGCCTGGGGTGAGCATGTTCTAGGGCCCTGCAGACTCCTTCCCAGCCCCGCAGGAAGGATGGAGTCAGTTGGGGCCCCAGTAAGGCCTTATCTAGTAGGAGATTAAGGAACTCTGGTGGCTGGGACCTAAGGCTGGTCCCTCTCTAGAGAGTTATTTCATCTCTGGACTTGTATTAACTATGATCTGTCTCACTGAAGCTTATGAAAAGTCAAACTTGTGATTTCTGAACAAGATTGTCTCTCTTCTTTCCTTCATAGGCCGATCGTGGCCATCTAGAGCCGCTGTGCCTTTCAGGATTTTGCTTCTTCTAGGAGTTTTGAACATCTATTCAGAAATTCTCTTAGTTTGGTTGTCTTGGTTACACCTGATTTAGGACTGTGGGTATGGACAGCTGTCACTGACGATGATGGTGGGACAGGGTGGGACACAGTACTGTTGCTTGCACAAATCCTAATCGGTCTTAATAGAAACCTGGAGCCAGATATCAGGGTGAAAGCTGAAGGATCAGAGAATCAGAGCAGCCACAGCCACCACCTCTTACCTCACCAGCTCCTCAGCCTGACAGACATCGAGTTCCTGTCTCCTCCCGCCTTATATTCCTTTCTCTGCCCAGCCATATCACTTCCTGTCTCAACCTTCCTAGTGCTGGGATTAAAGGTGTGTGATCCCAAGTGCTGGAATTACAGGAGTGTGCCACCACTGCCCAACTTCTATGTTTAATCTAATGGCTTGTTCTGTCCTCTGATCTTCAGGCAAATTTTATTTGTTCAAAATATCACCACACAGTACTTTGATGCTGGGAACACAGAGGACTAATTTACAGTTCCAAATATAATCTATCTACTACACGCATTTCATTTAGTGACTCCTGGAGTGCTCAGATTTTCTGCCTGAATAAATGGATTTTGTTTTGAGACAGGGTCTCACTGTGTACCTCTGGCTATCCCAGAACTTACTATGTAGACCAGGCTGGCCTCAAACTCACAGAGTTCTTCCTGCCTTTCCCTCTATGCCTCCAGTGCTGGGATTAAAGGCACCTGCCACCATGAAATGTTTATGGTACACATACACACATATATGTATATGTATATATATTTAATAATAAAAATGTAGGGCTGAAGAGATGGCTCATTGATTGAGTGTTTTCTGCTCTTACAGAGGACCTGGATTCGGTTCCCAACACCCACATCAGGCAGCTCACAACTACCTAAGCACAGTTCTAGGGGATATGATGCCCTCTTCTGGTTTCCATGGACACCTGCATACACATCTGTCTCTGTCTCTGTCTCTCTCTGTCTCTCTCTGTCTCTGTCTCTCTCTCTCTCTCTCTCTCTCTCTCTCTCTCTCTCTCACACACACACACACACACACACACACACGAGGTTGGGGAGACGGTTCCAGTGATAAGATATTTGCTGTGTTTGCTGTACATACAGGATGACCAGAGTCCAGACCCCTAGAGCCTATGTCCGTTCTGGGAGAGCAGAGGCCTGCCTGCCTAGAAAGCAAAGTCAGGGGAGCTCCAGAAGACCACGCTGGCTAGCTAAAGCTCCTAGTCCCCCTTCTGTGGCTGTGATAAGACAGCCCAACAAAAGGCAGCACAAGGAGAGTTCAT